CCTCCTATAAATGGGAGGCTTCCTCCTCTCATTCCATACTTCGCAAATTTTCACAAAAATTTCTTTGAGAGAAAAAAGCTCTAACACCGGGTGCTCTTGCGTTCAACCAGCTTCGTTGATTCAGATACGTCCGAATACCGGTAGAGCGCTTCTTTGATCAACTCACTAAGGTACCATCTAACTTAGTCAATTTTCTCTTCTTGATTTCAGTAGAGCCACAACCGGTCTTATACCATCATCTTTGAGCAATTTTCTTCTCAAATTGCTTTCAATAGACCCACAAACGGTCTTATACTGTCTGAGGTATCTTTGAGCAATTTTCTTCATAATTGCTTTCAATAGGCCCACAGCCGGTCTTATGCTGTCTAGGGTATCTTTGAGCAATCTTCAAAAGCTGCATTCCATAGGCCCACAGCCGGTCCCATACCGTCTGGGGCATCTTTAAGCAACTTTCTTCATAATCTGCTCTCAATAGACCCACAGCCAGTCTTATACCATCTGGGGTATCTTCAAGCAATTTTCAGTTGTCTTCTTGCAAAATTTCAGTTGCTCTTCAAAGGGATACATTTGGGCACCGTTTGGGGTATCTTCAAGCAACAACTCAAAGATCCGTCTACTAGCAAGCTTCTTCACAACTTCAAGGTACCGTCTCTACCTCTTGCAACTTTTTTGAGCTTTTCCCGACTGTATAGGATGTTAGAGAATAATGGACTCACCCAACACACACACGGCACAGCCTAGGGCAGTTTTCAACCGTTCACCGGATACGGCTGAGTCTAAGACTGGGGATCCCATCTGGGGGTGTTTGGACCACCCTTATTCTTCTACGAATCCGACCGTCTCTATTCATGTGCAAGATATAATGGCTCGGACAAGGAAAACAGTTTTTGACCCCGAGTACCAGTCCGATGATTCAGCCGGAACTCCGGTTGATGATGCTCCTTTAGACCAACCGGGCGTACCTAGCACGCCCGGAGATGGGATTCTTGAAGAGTCCGGAAGCTTAGACGGTGAAGAAACCGTCCAACAATCCTCGACTCCACAAAGTCGACAATGGAGTCGGATGCCCCTCAAGAGGATGAGGAGGCATATAACTGGCCTTTAGCAAATAACCCAACAGAGGCGCACATGAGCGCCCGGGACGTTGTGACATTAAATGCGACCCTCCCGGCATTTTTGGAGAAGCGTCCGGTAGGGGCTGGATGGGAGGTCGTCGTTCCACCTGTAAATGCATCCGTCGTCTGGGATGACGACTTGGATCACACCGATAATTACTTCGGCTGCTATGAGGCGGCATTCAAAGTCGGCCTCGGTTTCCCCTCCATAACACCATTAAAGCCATTCTAAGGGGTTACGACCTTGGCTTCTGGCAGCTCACACCCAACTCTTGGGTGAACATTTTGGGGTTCATAGCCGCCTGCGAAATGCAGGACGTGACGCCTAGCTTGGAGGCATTTGCGCACATGCACTATCTGAGCCGTGCCCCAGGTGGCTGGAATGCGTGGTACACATTGACCACGCATCCGGAGTACATGATGACTTTGGAGAAGCCATCTAAATGGACCAGCTGGAAGAGCAAGTTTTATATGGTCTCTTCCCCATCTCCGGCTGTGAACCACCGGCTACGCCGTTACAATAAGCACTCGGCTCTACTGGGAAAGAAATGCGCCCTCCCCAAGATACCGGAGAGATCTTGAGACCAAATAATGGAGTTAGGCCTTTTTAAGAAGACTGCTATTCCACTGGATGATGGGACACAAGTTATTGTCCCCAAGTTTTGGGTCCCTCATCCGGACTGGTTCAAAGACGAGGCGTTCCTTTCCGCCTGTGGTCTTAGCACCTTTGGGAGCCAACGTAGGTTTATTGCTTAACCGGTGCATTATGCCGCTTGTATGGTGTTTGAATGATCTCGAACACATTTTTTTTCTTTGCAGAGAAAGGACTCAAGATGACTCCTCCCAAAAAAACGTCGGCTAAGTCAGCCGCTGAAATTAGGAAGGAGCAGCTTGAGAAAAAGAAGGCCTAACTAGCGGCCAAAGGCGATGGGGTAAGCATTGGTTGACCTTTTTACCGTATGTATGTCTTGGAACCCATCTTAGTACTAACCGGTTGCTTTGCTTTGTTTTTCAGTCGGGGAGCCAAAACGTCCCTCGGTCTCTAAGGAACATAATGAAGAGACCGGGAGAGGAGCCTACCCAACCATCTTCAAAAAGGCGGAGGGTTCCGCCTGCCCCTACCTGGGCCTCTACCGGAAGACAGCCGGCTCCTAAAAGGCCTACGTCCACAGGCAAAAGTCTGCGTGATCTAGGCTTAGGCTCAGGACCGGATGAGGCCGGAGCTAGGGAGCCTGAGGTTCCCTCTAGCCTGGTGCTTGATGTTGCATCCACCTCTAATGCGGCAGGGGGTGGTGTCACCCCTCAGCCTGAAAACCAAGGTACGGATCTCACCTTTGACCCCCCCCCCCCCGGCCGCTTGGGCCTATTCGAGTCAAGTCCCAAGCTTCTTAGTTAGGGGATTCTTCAGGCAGCCGGCTGAATATAGGCGCTGCTTATGCCCAACACTTAACGAATATATCTCATGATGCAAATGCCTCTTCTCGTTGGCCGGATATGCAAAATTATGCCAAGAGAATGTTGAGGACTCTCACCCGGTCCGAGAAGGAGGCGGTACCGGGTATCAACCAGGTCAACATTGACCGCATCAACTCACTGCTGGCTGAGGTAATACACCGGTTAGGGTAATTTTGTGCAATTATGCTAATATACCGGTTGGGGTACTTTTGTGCAATTTTCCTAATATACCGGTTGTAATTTCTTCTTTTCCGACTGACTTTGCAGGTGATGTTGAGGGTTGATGGGATGAAAACTCCCTTGCATAAGAAGCAAGAGGAGGTAAGGGATGCCCAGAGACGGGCAACCGAATTAATAGATGTGTGTCAATATAACTCCCTTATGCTTGAATCTAAACTAAAGCCCGGGAGATGAAACAGGAGGAGCTGATCCGGGAGCTCACGGCTGCTGCTGATACAACCAACAAAAAAGTTGCCGACTGTGAACTCCAAGTTAACCAACTCAAGGCTGACGCCAAAGCCTTGGGAAAAGCTGACAAGGAGAACACGGGGCTGAAGGCTGCGGTCACCCGGCTGAAGGATGAGCTGGTTAAGACCAAGAAGGAGCACGTGGACCAGGTGTCGTCTGAGCAGGACCGACGGTTACCGAGAACGAGCGCGACTGCGAAGCGCGCATGTAGGTGGCATGGTCCATGATCCACCCGGACACCGACTGTGCTTTCTTCGACTTGAGGTACAAATACGCTACCAAGGTATTTGACGCTCAAGTTCTCAAGACTAAGAAGCCGACGCCCTTCGAAGAGTGGGTCGGCATCAAGGAGGGGGAGCACGCGGAAGAGAATGCGCCGAGTGAGGCAGGAGAAGCCCAAACCCAGCAAACTCAAAAAGCCCCTCTTGCCGGTCAGGACCAGCCGTCAGAACAGCAACAGCAGTAGCTTATCATTTTTTACTCCTGCTTTCATCCCACATGTGTGTCGCGTACTTTTGTATATTTTTCCCATGACAAGGGTCCGGCTGATATTTGAATCTGAATTTATATGTGTGTGTGTGTGTGTGTGTGCCGACTGTGTCGGTTTTGCTTTGCTACTATTTGCTCCAATTTTTTTGCAATTTTGCAATTTTCGCAATTTGAATTAATACATGTGGTAGCCAGGATGCAATGGTTATGTCTGCCCCTGGATGGTTGTTTGCTTGTAGTTAATCCAACTCTAAGCAAGCAACCGTCCATATAAGCATCCGGATGAATAAATAGGCGGTCCTTGACTGCTTACAAAACAGAATCATTTCTAAGTTGTATCTGCCGGTTGTGCCGACTAAACACAACCTAGGATACTCGTTTAACTGGCTGCGGATTACCCCTTGGGTATCCGTCAATGCCGTTGGTTGGTATGCAGGCGGCTTGTGGCCTGACGTATGCATTTCAACCAATTGCGGATTAAGCGACAAGGTTTTGACCTTGCTTATGGAAATAGAAGCCGGTTGTACTGCTTTTTGGCAAAAGCCGGCTGCAGACCAAGATTTAATTCACCGTCTGTATTGCCTTGAGGCAATGACCGGGTGTATCTTGATTTCGATAGGTCATTCGAACGGCCATGGGTTATCTTTAACCTAACCGGTTAAAGCCGTTTGAGTTTATGACCTGTAGAACAATGTACTACCCGGAAGGGAGATGTTCTCTTCGGCGAATTCACCAAAATGGGCGTCGCCGGATGCCTATTCATGATAGAGTAGGCGGTTTAAAACATGTTGGCCATTGGCCTTTTGAATAACTAAGTTCGGTACTAAGCCTTCTACTCAATTAGAGCAAACGGTTGCCCGGTTGTGCATTGCACATATGGGACTTGGTAGTTGTCCGGCTGTGCATTGCACATACGGGACTTTATACAAAAGATAATTGAAAATAAAGTACTCTTTCATTAATAAACTCTATTTACAAAATATTTACAAATCCTTAGAAGTAGTACCTTTTCAAGTTATCTACATTCCAGGTTCTGGCTAGCTGCCTGCCGTCTGGTGTTTTCATGCGGTAGGTGCCACCTCTGACTTCTTCCACTAGACGAAAATGGTAAAAAGGCACTGGTTCAAACCCCCCCTCTAGCACTGGTTTTGAACCGTTTGGGAGATGCCAAATCCATGAAAATTTGGCACCGGTTCAAAACCGGTGCCAACTAAAGCATTTAGCACCGGTTAACCGGTGCTAACTACATGATTTGGCACCGGTTAACCGGTGCCAACTACATGCTTTGGCACCGGTTAACCGGTGCCAACTACATGCTTAAAACCGATGCCTATAGTCAACTACATGGCGCCAATTTTATTTCTATTTTCAATACTATTGGCATCGGTTTTGAGTTAGAACCGGTGCAAAAAAACCCCACTTTAGGCACCGGTTATTGCTTTAAACCGGTGCCTATAGTCTCAAAAAAAAATTAAAAAACTTTTGGCACCGGTTCTGGTCCAAACCGATGCCAGAAATACCCGAAAAAAATAAATTTTTTTTTTTTTTTGCATTTTTTCCACTTAAATTGTTATAGAAACATTAACATATATATAAAGTTACATTTTTTTCATTAAAAAAGGCTAAAATACTACAATTTTCGTCCAAAAAAAAATTTGAAGTGTCCAAGGTTTCTGGCTGCTGTGTGTCTTCTGTCTGCACTAGTACTGTTGTCCTGGTTCTGCACTGCTACTGCTGTTCTGCTGGTCTCATGGTCTCATGATATCAAAGTAGACTATGCGGACTTCCATTGTAGCAGAAAGACCTATTTCAAAGTCAGACGTTTGATTAATATCAAGCCATGTATATTAATCTCAAAAGTCAAGACATTCTTAATCATCATAATTTATGACCTTATAATCAATTATTTTGTTATCAATAATCTGAACGAAAAACACCACGGTAGGGATCTGGATTGATCACATGATGAATATCACCCTGCATATGCACAGACATTCAATAGATTCAATATCCTAGACATTCCATAGATTCAATATCCTAGACTGTAACATATCTTACCAAAAAAGCCTTATCAACTATCATTCGATGTCCAATAAAAAAAAAAAAAAAAAAAAAAATCAAAACAAAACACATCATACGATGTCCATATATAGGCATAAAAGTTACTAATAAAGCTAGATAATTCCATATGTTTATGAATATAACAAGAAACCTGGCCCTTTATGTCATTAGAAAAATCAGACTAGTGTACACGATTAGAAGCTAGATGATAGGTTACATTTTGTCAAATCTCAGTCTTAGAAGAAATAAACTTTAGGTCCAAGATAATCAGGAAGAAAACCAGAAAATGAAGCAATAAGGACTTTGGCTTTAGTCTACACATGGCCAAAGAAGGCAAGGAGGGGCAGACAATTTTGAAATGTATACCAATCACTAAAGCAGGATTTTAAAATCCTTAGTAGATTTGTCAATGCATCACATGCAATCTAAAGTTACTCTATAGCAGGAAACAGAAGATCATACCCAACTATGAAACCAATTAACTATGAACCAAAAACCTTGATGAGACCTCACATGATATAATATTACGATAATAAGAATGAGTACTTATAGGATTATCATGGAAAAGAACCTGTGGTATTGAGTATTTCCATGTATTTAAAGCCGTCAATCCAATGGTATTACTACTTCCACCATGGTAGGCATTTCTCAATGAAATCATGCCATGATTACCAGTATAAAGCTTTGTCATCAGCGTAGCCAATTCATTTGCTTCTGTCCCAGAATTGACGAAATAGACATCCTGCATTTAAAGTTTACATTGATGAGCCAGAAATGCCATACCCTCACTTCAAGTTCTTGCTCACTTGAGAGTTTAATATCTAAAAACAGTAAAGGGGAAGATGGTATGTAGACCTGTGTAGGGGATCATGATATATCTTGGAACATTACAACACAATAATGAAGCAACGAATTGAAGAACATAACTTTATATTCTAAACCAAATGAGAAATTAAAGTAAATAAAAAATTTGAATAACTGATATATGAAATCTCAAATCAAGTTGATGTTAAAGGCTATGTTGTGAAAAGTCATGCACAACTATGGAGAAACAGCTTCATAAAATTTAGGATATGTTTCCTGAGCCATGAACAATTTTTCTTTTTTTTTCTATTGATAAAAAGGTTTTCTAAGCCATGAACAAATTGTTCAGCTGATTTTTTCTTGTTAATAATGAATGCAGAAGGCATTGTTAACAAAATTTGTAAGAATTGAAAGCATATTGTACATTAACAATCAAGTCATATACTAAAACATAGGATTCGGTTCATCAATTTTGAGGAAAACCTTGATATCAACTAGTAAAATTATGAGTCAGATGCTACATAGTACTAGTAAATAATATCTATAACAAAATTAACAACTAACTACAAACTGCCTAGAGTGCAAGTAATGAGAGATGATGATCAGATTAGTGAGACATGTCAAATTAAAACAATAAGCAACATAACTTTGCAAGGGTTAAAGTGGGACAATATAGGTTATGAGAAGCAACCTTTAGATTTCCAGGCATTTTCGATGCCAAAGCCTCTGCAAAGTGAGCTATGGCATGGTGCAAATATATAGTTGTCGCATGCTGAAGAAGTTTACTTTGCTCTATTACAGCATTCAATATATCAGGGTGGCAGTGGCCACAAGACACAATCACAATCCCGAAAAATGCATCAAGATAGCGTCTACCCGTCTCATCAAACAAATACTACATCTTACCCTCCACAATATTCAGCTGAACAACCATGAGCATAGAGTTAAGTACCAATATAGAGGTATAAAACATCAGTGGCAAAGCTAAATATATACAGTAATGTAATTCAAAATTAAGGCGTCAATTTTTAACTTTTAATTTTAATATACCAATGTTATGTATTTTAATATTAAGCCGTTCAGAACAATCTAACAATGACATGTAACAGCATTTTACATGAAACTAAAAGGTTTAAAATTTAATATGAAGTTTAATCTTTAGAGTTAAGTAGGGTCATTGCTTTGAACATAGCTCGGCCGACATTGAAGCCAACTGAAAGCAAAAACATATACAAGTTCTTCCATTAAATAAACTCCCTCATTTGGGATTCAATAATCATATGCCTAATTCAAATTACACTATCAACATGACTATTAAACCCGACACATAGGAGTATTTGATTAACACTTCTTCAACAACAAAAACCTAGAGAACCCAAATCGAAATTAAGAGGGTTGCAGTAGTAAACTAACCCTACTTTACAAGAACTAACCCTATATTCGAAAATCAAATAAACGACAAACCCTAGATTGCGAAAACTGAAATCGATAATCTAAAAAGGACAAAAACAAATTTTTACCTCGAAGCTGCTTCAATGAAGGTGAGAAAGCTCGAATCCGCTTCAATGGAGAATTAATAGTACGCGTAGCGGAGGAGTGATATGGACAAAGCTCAGAATGCGCTTCAATGGAGAACTACGAGCACACGTAATGGAGGAGAAATATGGAGAAAGGTGGTCGAAGCTAAGAGAAGGGCGAAAACGAGAGTTAGGGTTAACGAAAATGAAATGCAGGGGGGAAAGAAAAAAGAAGAAGAAGCAGAGAAATGAATACCCGATTTTTTTTTTTTTTATTTCGCCCGGTTTTTTGTTTTTTAAATGACACCGGTTTAAACCAGTGCTAAATATCATAGTTGGCACCGGTTTAAGGCGAACCGGTGCCAACTCTATTCCATACTTTTTTTTTATTTTCTTTTTTTTAAATTGGCACCGGTTTGAAACGGTGCTAATTATATGATTTGGCATCGGTTTGGTTGGAACCGGTGCTAACACTGAATTTTTCAATCCCGCCCATTTGTTTTGGCACCGGTTTTCACGAACCGGTGCTAAAGGGGGGGTGCCTATTTCAATTTTTCTACTAGTGTTCATTTGCCCTACCGGTTGCCTCCATTTTTCGTAGCACAAAGTCCCCCACTTTGAAGGACCGTTTGTGTACTCTTTTGTTGTAGGCCCTCGTCATTCTCAGACGGTATATCTCATGACGCAAGGCGGCATTGCCCCTGCGCTCCGAGAGTGAATTCGATGCTAGACGCATGGCCTCCCAATTTGCCTCTTCATCATACAGCATGACTCGGAGTGTTGGCTCATAAAGTTCAATTGGCAAGACGGCTTCAGTGTCGTATGTCATGAGAAACGGGGTTTCACCGGTTGCCCCTTTTTCAGTTGTTCTGATAGCCAATAGGACATGAGGCAACTCATCTTCCCATAGACCGCCAACCCTTTCAATTTTCCTCTTTATGCCGTCTAAGATGAGCTTGTTGAAGGCTTCGACTTGGCCGTTTGCTTGGGGGCGGCCAACGGATGCAAAGTAATGTGAGATCCCTTGATCTCCCAACCATCTCTTGAGGGTAAGCGTTTCAAACTGAGGGCCATTGTCAAACACCATAGACATAGGAACCCCAAACCGGGTGATGATGCTTCTCCAGATGAAGGAAATGACATCCTTTATCTTAATTCCCTTGACCGCCTCTGCCTCAATCCATTTGGTGAAGTAATCTACAGCCACAAGGATGTACCTCCGCCCGCCTGTGGCAGGTGTATATGGACCTAAGATGTCCATGCCCCATTTTGCAAATGGAACCAGGCTGTAGATAGCCGTCAGGTCTGTAGCCGGACGGTGTATGAGCCGACCAAATCTCTGGCGCTTGTCACACTTTTTCACCATTTCCATGGCGTCTGCCTCAAGAGTACGCCAAAAGTAGCCCTATCGTCTGGCCCTTTTTGCTAGAGTTATGCCGCCTATATGTGATACACAAAAGCCCGAGTGCAAATCCTCTAGAACCTCTTTGCCCCTTTTAAGGGTAACACACTTCAGCAACGGCTGGAGGTAACCCTTTTTGAAGAGCTCCCCCTTGTAGATCTCAAAGCTTAAAGCTCGCTTTTTCAATGCTGCCGCTTCTGAAGGAGCATCCGGCAAGGTGTCGTCTACCAAGTAATCTAGGATGGGGTCCATCCAGGTAGAGCTTCGGTCAAGAACTCCAATGGGATCATGTTCAATACTTCTTTTTTCCATGACTTCCCAAAAGACTGACATAGGCGTATCACAAGTGGCAGATGATGCCATCTTGGACAAGGCATCCGCCTAATTTTTCTCTGACCTGGGCACCTGACTTAGATGAAATTCGTCAAGTGTCCCGGCCTCATCTTTGACCGCCTGCAAGTACTTGATCATTGCCGGATGGGTGGCCTCATAGTCACCATGATACTGGCTAACGATCAGTTGAGAATCTGAGCAAGCGTCAACTTTTCTTGCCCCTGCCGCCTTACACATGCGTATATCGGCTAGCAGGGCCTCATGCTCCGCCTCATTATTTGAGGCTTGGAACTTGAACCGTATTGCATATTTATATTTGTCCCCTTCCGGAGACTTGCAAATTACGCCTACACCACAGTCATTCATAGTAGAGCTACCGTCTACATATAACTTCCAAACCTGATCAACATTGTCTGGCTGAGCCGGTCTTGTCATTTCAACAATAAAGTCGACAAACGCCTGACCCTTCACTGCCTTTCTAGGTTCGAAAGAAATTTCCAGACTTTGCAATTCAATAGCCCACTTGAGCATTCTGCCGGATGACTCCAAGGTTGTCATTAGCCGCTTGAGTGGTTAGTCTGTGTAGACCACACCGGATGTGCCAAGAAGTATGGCTTTAACTTCTTGACTGCCATGAACAAAGCAAGGCCAAATTTTTCAACCAAGGGGTATCGCAGCTCAGCATTCCGGAGAACATGGCTAATGAAATAGACCGGGAGCTGAATGTCGTCTCTCTCAGCTAGGAGAACGGCACTAAGGGCATGATCTAAGACGGCCAAATACATGTAGAGAACCTCTCCTGCTAGAGGGCTGACCAGCCGTGGCAAAGAGTGGAGGTGCTCCTTCAATTTCTAGAATGCCGCCTCAGCATTCTCCCCCCATTCAAATCTAGTCTTCTTCTTAATTGCCTAGAAGAAGTAGAGGCACTTGTCACCTGACCGGCTGAGGAATCTCCCCAATGCCACCAGACAACCGGTGAGCTTTTGGACTTCTTTGACAGTGCCGGGTGACTTCATGTCAATAACCACCTGCACTTTTTCCGGATTGGCCTATATTCCCCTTTGATCAATCAAGAATCCGAGAAACTTCCCAGACTCAACACCAAAGACACACTTTTTGGGATTAAGCATGACCTTATGCCGCCTAAGGGTGGTGAAGGTTTCTTGGAGATCAGCAAGGTGATCCGTCTGCAGCTTGGATTTGACTATCATGTCATCAATGTACTCCTCTACATTCCTCCCAATTTGATTAATGAAAATCGTATTAATCATCCGTTGGAAGGTAGCAGGCGCATTCTTCAACCCAAACAGCATCTTCGTATAGCAGAACAACCCTTGATCAGTGACGAATGTCGTCTTTTCTTGATCTTTTTTCCACTAGGGTATCTGATGGAAGCCTGAGTAGGCATCCATGAAGCTCATCAAGGCATGACCAGCTGTAGAGTCGACTAGACTGTCGATCTTTGGAAATGGATAGCTATCCTTTGGACATGCCTTGTTCAGAACTGTGTAATCGACACACATCCGCCAGGTCCCATTCGGCTTTTTGACAAGGACGACATTGGCTACCCAATCCGGGTAGTAGAATTGTCGAATGAACCTGGCATCCAGTAGCTTCTTGACCTCGTCGGCTGCCGCCTAAGATCTTTCCTTACCGTGGTTCCTTTTCTTTTGCCTAACAGGCTTCTTTTTTGGATCCACAACAAGTTTGTGGACAGCAAGATCCGGGCTGACGCCTGACATCTCTTCCACTTCAAAGGCAAAGATGTCTTTGAATTCCTTCAACAGTTGGTGCAAGTCTGCACCCAACTTTGCAAAAGCAACCGTCCCCACTTTTACGGTTCTTTCCGACGGCTGTCATCTAGAATAATATCAATAGTATCACCAGCCGGCTGGAGACGGAGATCCTCTGATCGTTCCCTGATCAGTGGTTGTTATTGCTTCTATTTTTTTACGGCGACCAGGTGGTCCGCCTTTCTCTTTTTGTCGGCTGCTTTGGGAGCAGGCGCGACTTCCTTGAAATCATCGAGGTCAATGGGCTCCTCGCCTTGGCCGGCTGCGGTCGCAATCGGCTTGACGTCTGAGAGGTAGCACTCCCTAGTCGTCTTTTGATCCCCGTTCAGGGAACCCAGTGACCCATCATCCCTCTTAAACTTGATCGGCATGAGCAATGGAATGATGACTGCCTTGGACTCGTTAAGGGTTGGACGGCCCAGAATGAGATTGTAGGCGGTCAATTCCTCAACCACCAAGAACTTGACGACCATTTGTCGTCCTTCCCCCTTCTCTCCTAGCCGGATGGGTAGGTCAATCCTCCCCACCAGATGCACTACTCCTCCCCCAAAACCGACTACGGGGTGAGAAGCCTTGTACATACTGCTAGGCTTGTACTTAAGCTTTGTCAAGCACTGATAGCTGATCAGGTCAGACGAGCTCCCAGTATCGATGAGGATCTGCCCACCCGTTGGTTGGCAACCTTGCATTCGATGACAATTGGGTCATTATGAGGCTGCCCCGATCCTTCTCAGAGATGAAGACCTCAGGGAAGGTGTCTTTCGACGCCTAGCCCTCATCCACTGGGTTGGATAGCTTCCGGATGTTGTCCTTGGTACCCCGGATGGTAGGACCACCGCTCGCGAAGCCGCCTGCTATGGTGAAGATGTGCTCTTCATCAGTGTCAGAGCTCACAACCGGCTTCTTCGACGGTTGTCCATTATTGGTTTTGGGAGTACACTAAGACTTTACCAGGTATGACTTCAAAGCTCCCTCATCAGCCAGACGGTCCAACAACCGCCTAAAGCTATAGCAACCATTGGTGTCATGGTCGACATCCTCACGTAACTGACAGTACTTGCTCTTGTCTCGGTTCTTGATGGAACTCTTCATTGCTGCCAGTTTTTCAATTGTTAATCGGTCTTTAATCTCCACGAGGATGGAGGAGCAGTCCTGGTTGAACTCGTACTTGGGGACGTACGACTTCAACTTTCTCTGTTTCTTCTGGGACGATCCGCCGCCCAGACTTCTTTTCTTTTCTTGCTTTCTTCTTTTTTGGCCGGCTGAGCAGGCTGGCTTTCTTTCCGGTCGGACCTCCTGGGTTCCGACGAGTGCTTGATGGCACAGAGCTCCGTCGCCTGTATATAGGCTTCGGCTTCCATCAGCGCCTCTTGGAGGGTAGCAACCCTCTTGCGGACCAGGTCGAACTTAAAGGTCGACCCGTCCTTCAGACCCTTGAAGAAGTCTGTGTATGCAACTTCGTCAGACATTCTCATCAGATTGACAGGGATGTTCATGGAGAAGTTGGATGCGAACAGGTATGCAAGCATCTTAAAGTTGTTGATGCACCCGGCTGGCAGATTTCCAAACCGTCGTTGGGATATGCCCTTCAATGTTGCTGGGAAGCATCGGCACCAGGCGACATCTTCCAACCCCTGTTGGTACATGAGGTTGGTGTAAGCCATTAGGTGATCTTCCGGGTTGGTGGTACCGTCATAGGTACCGACCAACACGTTCTTAACCTTGGCCGGCTGAGCCGCCTCGGTTATCTCCCTAGAAAACACCAACGGCTGTTCCCCAAGGTTTACCAGCCGGAGCTGCCATTCCATAGGCTAGACCTACTGTGCCGCCGGACTCCTGAAGAGGGCCGGTTGCATGTGTGGTGATCCATACGGCATGTATGGCTGTTGGGGCACATACGGAGCCGGCTGAATGATCTGAGGGCCAGTACGTGCAGACATGCCATGTGACTGACTCTCTCGGTTTGTCTCCGAATACTTCATTGATACGTTGACGTTGAGGCCGACTCAGACATTTGTTGACTTCTCTT